TGACGAGGGGTAAATCGCCAGGGCATGACGGCCTCAGTATTGAGCATCTTCTGCATGCGGGGCCTCATCTCTCCAGGCTTCTAGCTACCTTCTACACCCTTTGCATGAGACATTCCTATCTTCCTGAGCAGCTGATGAGAACTATTGTTGTGCCTATAGTAAAAAATAAAACTGGAGATATATCTGACAAAGAGAACTATAGGCCCATCTCATTAGCTACTATCATGGCTAAAGTGCTTGACAGTCTGCTTGAGCGGCATCTCAGTGGATATCTAAAATTAAATGATGCTCAGTTCGGATTTAAAAAGAGTCTCTCCACTGAGAGTGCAATATTAACACTCAAGCATACTGTAAGGTACTATACCAATAGGAAAACACCAATTTACGCTGCCTTCCTGGATCTGTCAAAGTCATTTGACCTAGTTAATTATGATATTCTGTGTAAGAAGCTGCGTGAAATGGCCTTACCAAGCGAGTTGATAGAAATATTTAAATACTGGTATGGCCATCAAATAAATCAAGTCAGATGGACAGAGGCACTGTCCAAAGAATATAGGCTAGAGTGCGGGGTTAGACAGGGTGGCCTAACTTCACCAGCGCTCTTCAACCTGTACATTAACCAGTTAATCGTTGAGCTCAGCAACGCTGATGTCGGCTGCTCAATAGATGGGCATTTCGTTAACAGCATAAGCTATGCAGACGACATGGTGTTGCTGAGCCCATCGATTAACGCACTGAGGACATTACTTAATATTTGTGATACTTATGCTGAGACTCACGATCTCATTTATAATGTAAAAAAAAGTGAATTGTTGTTATTTCGAGCTGGATCAAATATTGAAACGATTCCACCTGTTAAATTAAGGAACGTACAGTTAAATAGAGTGTATCAATTTAAATATCTTGGTCACGTTTTAACTGAGGATCTGACTGATGTTGCGGACATAGAAAGAGAAAGAAGGGCATTGGCGGTTCGCTGTAACATGCTGTCCCGTAGCTTTGCACGCTGTACAGAAGAAGTTAAGGTAACACTTTTCAAAGCCTTTTGCCAGTCATTTTACACGTGCAGTCTATGGGTTAAGTACACGCAGAGAGCCTACAATGCCCTTCGGGTACAATATAATAATGCCTTCAGGATGCTGATGGGGTTTCCGCGGTATTGTAGCGCTTCAGGGATGTTTACAGCGTACGGTACGGACGGTTTTCATGCCATAATTCGAAAGAGAAAAGCATCCCTCATGCGCAGGGTTTGTGGGAGCTCTAATAGCATTCTGAAGGCAATATCTGACAGATTTGATTGTCCCATCCTAGGGCACTGGATGCGTATGCACTTGCATGTGCCTGGTGTCATGGGGTGCCAAAAATAAAAAACTAATTGTTATGAAAATTGTACGTGTAATGATTTAAGACTATCATAGGTTAAGCTAATTTACTAACATATTATGGACTTTATGTGGGTCTGAAATAAATTATTATTAATATTAATAAAAGGCCGGCAACATACTGCGATTGCTTAATGACCTACTGAAACGCGCCCAGTCTTGATCTGTTTTTGGAAGCTTTATATTACTTAATCTTTAAGTTTCTGTCATGAATATGTTTATACTAGCGGTGCGCCCCGGCGTCGTGCGGGTGCACTGTGGATATCGACAACAGCGCCACCTAACCGGCTCCAATAGTGGATGGTTCAGAGTCCAGGGACCCACTCACTCACACACGGTTCCTTTATCAAAACCGGTCCAACCATTTTCGAGTTTTTGCAAGACTAATGGACATCAATTGATTTATATATATATATATATATATATATATATATATATATATATATATATATATATATATATAGTTAAACCCTCAAGCGCCATAAAAATCCCATGCAATCGCATGCGCCCGGCAAATCCCGAACGGTTGCATGCGACTGCACCCACCCGCAGCACTTAAAACCCATTAAAACTTTATTTAGAGACTACTTTTCTACGAAGAAGTTTAGCGTTACAAAATCTATACAAAATTTTCTATCTTTTGGTCTAAACAAAAGTTAGGTTTTATTTCATTACAACAAGATTTTATTATATTCTGATATCAAAAAAAAACATACCAAGCGAATGTCGGCAGCGTGAAAATCACAATTATTTCAGTAAATATTACTCGAAATTATTTACGTAAAAAGATAAATTATATTTACACAAAAACTTTCGTTACAATTTTATAATAAAACACTAGAAAAATCCAAAAATCAACACAATAACATTCACGCGAAATTGGCGTACGAAATAAACATAGATTATAAATAAATATTCTTAGGATAACAGTTTTTTTAATGCACTAATTCAAATTGTTTATTGCATGTCACATTACAAATTTAAGATGGTACAATTTTGATCGGTATACATGTGACGCCCCGCAAGGGCATAGCAACACTAGAGGGCTAACTATTTTCGTATTATCTAATTTTTAAACATAAATTACAAATTATCATATCATCAACATTCAATATTATTTTATATAAATTAATTTAATTTGAAACACAATGAATAGTCTAAGTATTCTTACTTTATCGTTATTTATCGTCAAAAAATTCATTTAAATTATAGTAACATTTATTAATAAGAAATATTTTTAATTGTTTATTAAATTGTACAGGATTTTCCAGGATTTTTATGGAATTTGGTAAATGGTTATAAATCTTTATTGACATAACGTGAGGGCTGTTTGAAACTAATTTTAATTTGGAGAAGGGTATCTTAAGCTTATATAAATTTCTATTATTTCTTTTAGTCTTTTTAATAGGTGAGTAGAGTTTTGGGTGCTTCCTAACAAATTTACAAGATTCGAGGATGTAGATAGATTTAAGTGTCAAAATCTTATTTTTAATGAAGTGGGGTTTACATGACTCCATTTTGTCCAAATTTATCACTAGAGGATAGAGTGTTTCATATTGATTATATAATGCCAAACTTCTTCTTAAAAAAGTAGTCACTATATATAAATTTTTATGGGTTAAAGTGCTACGACCTCATGAGGATTTGGCGGAATATGGCCGCGGTCTCATGAGACCGCTAGGGGGTTGAAAGGTTAAAGATAAATAAATAAAACAAATTCGTATTTCCATGTGTTTGTATGTTATTTATTTCTATATATTATATGAATTTATTTATAAATATTCTGTTTCTGCATCACCAAACCACAGAATTTTTGGTTAAAGTTGTCCGGCAGAAATCGCTTTTAACGTAAAGTTGTCTGGCAGAAATCGCTTTTAACGTAAAGTTGTCCGGTAGAAATCGCTTTTAACGTAAAGTTGTCCGGCAGAAATCGCTTTTAACGTAAAGTTGTCCGGCAGAAATCGCTTTTTCCGTAAAGTTGTCCGGCATAAATAGCTTTTAACGTAAAGTTGTCCAGTAGAAATCGCTTTTAGCGTAAAGTTGTCCGGCAGAAACCGCTTTTAACGTAAAGTTGTCCGGTAGAAATTGCTTTTAACGTAAAGTTGTCCGGCAGAAATCGCTTTTAACGTAAATTTGTCCGGTAGAAATCGCTTTTAACGTAAAGTTGTCCGGTAGAAATCGCTTTTAACGATAAGAGCACCCATTGTGACACTATTTTTCCCTTCTTGTTTTGTTCATGTATGGTTTCAGTGTACAATAAAAAGTTATCTATTTATCTACTACAATTCCTCTGGTATTGCGGATGTTCATTTGCTGCGGTGACCACTTACTATCAGGTGAAATGTATCCTTGAGTTTTTCTCCTCCTCATAGAGAAAATTGAATTTTTGGCCATCAGGGCGTATATTTTATGTGTAAACCAGCAGCTGCAGCGCGAGCAGGAGAGGCTGGCTTTGTCTTCATGACATCAACCGCAATTTTCAACTGTACGCGTAATAACAATTTATCAAAGCCAAACTGTCAACTCTTACTTAGCAACATGTAAATCTCAGAATTAGAAGCTATTGCCAGTTGTGTAAAAAAATTTCATATTCGCGCAAATTCCGTCTCTTTTTTTCTGTCTTTTTCTGGTTCCTTGCCGCGGGAGACAATATAATTATTTAGCAATTAATTAATTTTCACTTATCCGCGGTGAAGCCATGCTGTAACTATATTATGATTGTAGCACGAATGAACCGGCTCGACCAAGGGACCACGCTCTCACATTATACCAGCGTAAAATAGCAACTTATTGCTGCGTTTCGATGCGATTATAATGCTTAATAACGAATGTAAATATCCGGGACCCTTTTTACTGGAAACTATACATTCCATCTTAATCCTCTGGAGTGATAACGCACCTACATTTTGATTTTTAATCGTGGATAGATGTTTCGTTCTCGTTCCTTTGTCACGCTTATTTTGTCGGTTATATAATTATATAATCATGCCCACATATCGAATACACCCAAGACAAAATGTCTCAGGATTAGTATTCCACTGCATAGTACTGAATTTTTCAGGTTCTCAAAGAATACGATTATCCCTATTATCCCTTTTATTTTATTTGAAGAGAACAGAATAAAAAGTATCGATTAACAATTTCCCTGTCCGCAAAATAGACTAGACAGGAAATGCTTAAATTTAAATAACTAATAAATTTTAACGAGTGGCAGAGAGGCAGAGAGTGCATCTATATAAGTATTATGATTGTAGCACGAATGGGTTGGACCGTCGAAGGACTACGTTCTTACAGGATGCCAGTGAAAAATAGCAACTTAATGCTAATTTGATTCGTATGGCGTGTTTAGAGAATTGGAAACCCTTTTTACTGGAAACAAGGCATTTCATCACTTAGTTCATCAGTTAGTACGTATCTGCATTTTGATTCTTAATTGAGTATAAATGTATATGTCAATAGACCACAGCATCCACTTACTATAAGGTGGACTATGTGCTTTTTTTCTCACCCTTATTCTATAAAAAAATCGCTCCATTAACAAATTCCTGGTATTCCACTAAGTCTAAAAACTATTCATGCATTAAAAATGAACATAATGACGCAGTTATATTTGTGTAGACGCTCGTGCTGTCGTACGCGTACCACTGCTGCGAATTCATGCCGCTGGCGGAGGGCGCGGCGGCGGGAGAGGTGGAAAGCGAGGAGAGCGAGGAGGGTGGTTTCAGCGACCTGGTGCTGCTTCCGCCGCGCCGTGTCGACCTGGCCGCCTGGGCCAATGCCACCGACATCTGGCCGCACTACCGTTAGTATAACTTCATTGCCGGCTTTTAGCTGCTTGTTCGGGCATTGAAACATAAACATTTATGTACATTTCATATTCACCATCATCGTTACAGCCCTTCATAAGTCCACTGCAGAACATACACAGACGTCCCTTAAGTAATGTTACAAAGCATTATTTTTATTAAAATGGGCAAAGATAAGTTCTACGATGGAGGAGGTTGCCCAGGAGAAACCTGTTCACACGTACCTTATATTATAACAAGTTTATCAAAATTTCTATTTAATAATAATTAAAATTGACAATTTATTAATCTTTTCACTTTTAGGGGATGTCTCAATTTTATATATTTGTTTATTTTTTAAATAAAAATTATATTAACAATAATGTTCTACCTTCGGTATAGTAAATTTAAAAAAAAAACTCTTAGTTCACTGAGAACAGAATTAAAATAGCCCAAAAGCAGAGGTAACTTTGTGTTTTCTATCGAGAAAATTTTATTCTATTACGTATTTGAAAATTTACAACTCTTAGATAACTTTATTTTCAATTTTGAACTTGTATTATAGATTTATTACAGAAAAATATAATGCTACTTTGCGTGACCTTGTTTTGTGCACAACCTTAGATAAAGTTTTTTCTTTATACGTTGGTTCGCATTAAGGGACGTACATGATCGCACAGGATTGCGAATGGGATACATCAATTCCTATCGCCTAACATGGTAACGCACTTTTATTAGCTTCTATCTTTCTATCTGTGTGACGGAATCTTGTAATAACAAGTTGGTGACAATTCACTACCTTGTACACGGCCGAATGACTTGAAAATTTGCACTCGTATTAAGGACCGATCAGAGTATAACCATTTAATAACTTTATCCTAGTATACACATCAGGATCACAGGATAAAATAAAATAATCAGCTTAGGATCGATGCGTGTTGTTTCTAAATTATAATTTTATATAAAGCTTAGTATATGTATATTGTTCAATAAAGCAGATTTTTAGTATGATACTTAGGAGATATATACATATTCTTACATCCCCTATGACACATATATGTAACCTGTCTTTGTCTAAAGGAATCTTTCCCTCAGCATTCAAAAGCGCGCTCCTCAAGCCTATTCACAAAAATGGTGAGAGGGACTGTGTCAACAACTACAGGCCAATCTCCATCTTACACACACTGTCCAAAATCTTAGAGCACCTACTAAATAATCGCTTAAATAATTTCCTGGAGGGAAATAATCTCAAGGCAAGGCAAGTCAACAAATAATGCGGTACATGAGCTTCTTAACCAACTTGGATGAAAAAAGAAAATGTCTAACAATATTTCTCGACATAGCAAAAGCATTTGACATAGTCCCTTATGTATATATATATATATTTTGGTGTTAGTGTAAACATCATTATCCTTGAAACCAGTCGTTTGGTTTCACTTATAGAACGTAAATTCAATGAATTAAAAAAAAAAGACGTGTGGCACTCGGGGACTGCCGCGGTAAAGCTATTGCATAGCATTTTATGCAATTATAATTATTTATTTATTTTATTTATGCAGTATTTCTTTTTCTTTGATATTAATTCAAGTTACTTAGGTTAATCCAATCAAATTCAACCAGATTTAACCGAACCCGCGTTATAACGAACTCACTATTTGTGAAAAATACTGTATCACCGGACCGCGTCGCAAAAAACTCAGGTTCGCGCAGTACATACGTCAGGGCGGCCGTACGGCAATTATATTAACAAGACGCGCAACTACTCAGTTCCACGCTCCACGGCAAGATTTGTCACTTATTATTTATTGTCCAATTAATTGTCTTTAAGTTCAAATGGCACGCTCTATTAACATAAGTCTAAGACAAAACAAGGAGACTTTCAATATATGAACAACCCGGCTTCGAGCAAAAACTCTCGCGACCCCTATAATGCGACCGGAGAACGTCATCGGCGCAGGCGCCGCGTGCCTAGTTAGGAGCGCGCCTTAGCGGGCCGGGTGCAGCCCGCAGCTTTCGTCGCTTTACACCGCTTGAGATAAGACGATCTACTATCAGGCGCTAACAAACCCCCGTCCCGGACATAAGGACCTATGTCCGCGAGTAAATTGGCAATTAGAAGACGCTTTGTATTGTTGGTTTTTACAAAAACGATCAACTGGGCAAATGATATCTGGCCCTTTGCTTTGTAAAAAAGCATTACAGTTAAATAAAAAATTAGGTGACGGCGGCTCGTTTGTCGCAAGTAACGGATGGTTATATAGATTTATATCTCTTCATGGAATTTAATCAATGTTTATTAAAAAATAATAATTTCTTAATAAACATTGATTTTCGTTGAAATTGTTGTTTTTAATAAACACATAACATTATGTATGTATAGCCGTTCTTCATACATTCGATCATCCGGATTTTCGATTATCCGAATCCCTAACGGCAACAATTAGTCCGGTTAATCGAGTATATATATACATATTGAGAATCTAAATTGAGAATTTAAACTATACGCGTGCGTGTGTTTGTGTGTATATAAAGAGGGCTACTTTTAATATCGCTCATTTTAATATCAAAAATTTAGGTTATCTTTATAGCAGTATTATATTTTCAATTCAAAATTAGTACTGCATTTGTGATAATAATAAAATGTAGGTATGTATATAGAGTACTCACTCATTTTCTTTCACTATTTTTTCGTGACTTTCTTCATTAATAATAAATTCACTTTGTTCATTCATATTCAAAATTTCAAAACACTTTATACACTAACACCGTGTCGAAGACTGAGGAAAAGAAACGACGTTAGACCATCGTTAGACAATGCACGGCCTTCAAGCCACACCTCCGTGCCCGTCGGAGAGCGTGAGGTTTTTTTCGTTACGAAATTTCTGGATTTTCCCGCACTCAAGGCCCGCGATAGAAGCTATGCAATAGCTTAAAAGAACGCTATTTTCTTTCATAAAATTTAAAAAGTTTCTGTCCGACACCGTCCGTAAATTCATGGATACCCTATGCTCCCGAGTGACGTAATCACCGTAAAGATCACCGCCCGCGCTAGCTACCTACACAACATTCAACATAAAAACACAATAGGTACACATAACCTGTTATGTAACTTTTCCTTCATACTTTCGTCCTGGCTTAGGATAGGCAAAAATTGAGGAATTAAGGAAAAATTGAGATTTTACTAAAAAAATTTTGTTATTTATTTTTCATTGAATTTACGTTCTATAAGTGAAGCCAAACCACTGGTTATTATATATATATATATATACAGGGTCATTTTTAATTTACTAAAGACCTTTTGAGAATATAATGGTGGCATAATTACAAACGATTTTAGCGAGATCACTCTTTACAGAATGTAATACATTTACATAAAAGCTACTTTTAAGTTTTTATTGTCATGTCTGACTCCTTTTAAGTCTGTATTATAAAAATCACAAATATTAAAATGAGCAATAGGTAATTATAAAGTATGACCTCTTTGACGCGCCGCCGCGCCGGTCGACGCCCGCGCTCAGCTGATTGTGTCGCGAGTGCCTACTGCCCACAGAGTACTTTTTATAGAGCCTACTAAACTATTCACCACTGTGCCTATAGTACCAGGGCGCCACTCCAAATGACAAATTTACATTAACTTTTCATATACTTCTTTTTTGCATAAAGCAATTTGATTAACTATTTGATTATTTTATTAATTTGTTTACGAATTTATAGACATTTTTTAATAAACATTTAGGTAGTTTGTTACGATCACTGCTTGCCATTAATGCTGCCTTCGGATGGCAACGCCGCCCACGGCGGTTAGCTACGCCTCAAGCAACGTCGTAATAAAATAATAAAACTCGCTTGGTGGTTTGCAACAGACTAACCTTTATTTATAGTCATCTATAAGTCTATAACAGAGTAGGCAGATTTACACTCATATACCAATAGATGGCCTTAGTAGTATGATATTTTGTTATTAAGTTACATATACATAATACATACATAAACACTCACGCCTGTCACCCAGAGGGGTAGGCAGAGATTACGGACTTCCATTTGGCACGATCCTGACATACCTCTTTCGCCTCCTTTACATCCATATATCTACGCATACATGCTTGTCGGTTAAGGGTACTTCTAACGTGGCCCATTTTCAAAATATCGCCAATTTGGTCGACAAACTTTTTTCTAGGGCGTCCCTTCCCGACTCGGCCGTTCACATCTGCCATATAAATTTGCTTTGTCACTCTTTCATCATTCATTCTTTCTACGTGACCAAACCACCGAAGCATTCCTTTCTTAATCCTGGTCACAACATCATCTTGCATACCACATTTATCTCTTATCACGCAATTTCTCACCCTGTCATTCAGATTAAACCCTAGCATATTTCTTAAAGAACGCATTTCTACAGCATTTATTCTACTTTCTTGCTTCTTCTGCCACACCCAGCTTTCACTACCATACATTAACGTAGGGACTAACACAGCATTATGAATTACCATACGTGCCTGTTTTGACACATTCTGGTTCTTCATAATAGAGTGTAGTGCCCCATTCACTCTATTCCCTGCATTTACTCGTCGTTCTATATCCCTATCATATCTACCATCCCTGCTAAATACACATCCCAAATACACAATAAGTTACAATTTATTTATAACACCCTCTCTTAACAAAATATCCCGATAATTGTACAAGTTTTAAAAATTCAGTTTACAAATGGTTATAAGTTTTTTTAACAATAAAAACAATTTTATAAACTACATACTTATTTTAATTTACTTCCCCTATTCCCATCAGATCTATAAATTTGTAATGTTTATTTGCACAAAGTGCTTTAGTAAATATATCTGCTGGCATAGAAGAGGTTGGTACCTAACTAATCTTGATTTTATTATTCACCACACATTCTCTAGTAAAATGATGGCGTACATCAATATGCTTAGTGCGTTTGTGAAACATCGGATTAGAAGCCAATTTTAAAGAACTTTGACTGTCACTGTACAAGCTTAAAGGTTCCTTTTTACTA